GTGAGCCGCCCTGAGTCCCCTTGGGGAAAAGGGCGGCATAGAAATATAATCAATTCAATTCAATTCAATTCTTTATTCAACAAGAGAGAACTACAACTCTAACCCCAGAAAAATGCAAAATGAAGCGCAATTTGCGGTCGACAACTCCTTTAAATACCCCGCTGTGAACTGCGACTGTCCAATCAACAATAAACATTCCCCCTGCCAAAAAGACAGCCAATCAACATCTTAATACTCAACATGTCCTGCCTAAATCCATGCAGAATTATGGATCTAGAAACTCTCTGGAGCTATAAATAAAGGCATCAGATCTGCCTTTCTCTGTAGTGACCTGCAAGCAACTCTTAACAGGTCACTACATTTCCATATCATTCTTACGATGTTCAGGGAGATAACACTTTGCTTTCTGGCAAAATGTCATCTTCTACTTGGAAAAGGTTGAAGAGTTTTTAGTTTTGTGGCACTACATCATTGGGAAAACAAATTACAAAGAAAGAAAGACACCTAGTTTGGTATTAACTAAAACACATGATTTGGGAAACAACATAGTTCTCTACAAAAAGAAAATACATTTATCTCAATAGAAGTACAGTTGCATCTTTCTTAAAACTTAATTTACACTCACAAGAAAAATCCTGAAAATGGTCATGATTATGAAAATTATAGAAATGTATCTTTCATATCCAATTCCCCCATTGATCTGGGAAGCAACAGTAGGTGTTGCATGATTGCTGCAGTCAATCGATTTCAGGGAACAGATATTCTATTCTTCTGTAAATAACCGAGCAGACTTTGTTTAACCCTACATGACTAGGTCAATCTTTTACACCCACAATGCAGTGCCCCTTTCTTCATAACCAATTGCGTATATTTATGGAAAAGGACCAGTGTCTGCCAGGCAAGTAGAGCCGTAACCAATGGAGTACTGAAGTTTTCTCCAAATATATTTGGTATAAGATGAACTAGAGACGGTGGATGAAGATTTGATATTCCCTAAAATGGCATTTCTTTACCTATTAATGTAATTGGGTTCTACCTGAACAATCCGTGTTAAACTAGGTTAGTAGCTCAAGGCCATGCTACAATATTTTGCTGATAGTGAAATATGGAGATCTCAAAACATTTCACACTTTTGTAGTCCTTTGTGTTACCCTTGTGTTTCATGATCTCATTAAAGCCATCAGAAAAATCCTTCTCCAATAATTCCAAACTGGTTACCTATGATCCAGTTAGCATGATGGTGTGCTGCTGAAAGAAAACAAAACTTGATCAGTTAAGTGGCTGATTGGGTCAAGCATGGCCATCAAATGATTTGTCCAAAGAAATGATCAAATTAGCTTTCAGTTTTCAGTTAAATTCATTAAAATTCTTAATTCGTCTAGTCAATGTCACACTAAAAATGTAACATCAGTATATTATCACTAGATATCTAAGTGATTATTATCCTAAAGAGAAGGCATTCATGAGTGCTATCAGAAGTTTGAAGCAACAAGACAGGAGTACAAAAGAACTGTGTAATGAACAATGCTTGCTTTTATGTTTTATAGAATATGCAAAGGTGAACTTATCCTTAATAGATCATGGGCATAATAATCCTCACCTTATACCATCCATGGATTCTCTACAACAGAGCTATAGTTTAAATCCCCAAAAGCTGAACTAAGCCCTGAATGAGCTGCAGATTTCTTTGAATGCACTAGGTATCTACAAATTTGTCAAAATTTGGATGAAACGTACCACATATGTGTAGCAGATGAAGAAGAGACACTTTCTCTCATTTTTATTAGAATCAGAAGCTGTGATCACAGAAGACAACATGGTTGACTGTTCATAACATACTTATCAAGTTTGGTTAGAAATGAAGACTGGTATGATTTTGGGAAGGCAAATATAATGGCCCTATTAAAAAGGGACGTAAAAAGAAAGATAAAAGTATAAAATGAGTACTAAAATGAGAATATAGTTAGAACTCTGAAAAAATACTAATTGTTTTGAAAACCATGAGACATTTAATTCTAACCCTGCCTGTTTCTCATTCTGCTAGTTGTTGTAAACTTTCTCATATGAAAGTGAATTCTCATTTTAAAGTTTCTCTCAAATGATAAATTACCTTCAATATTCATGAGGCCACTATGCTCTTTAAAAATGCTTTTATTTGCAATCAGTTTTTCTCGTTGGAACTGATTGTTTTCTTTTCATTCTTTATGTTTTATTAATTTTATAGATCACCCTTGTTGTAAATAAGATTATTGATAATTTGTGGTCCCAATTTGGACCAGAATTTTTGTTGCTATGTGATAAAGGGTAACTTCTTTGCTTAGCAATGGCAATCTAAATAATCTCAGGTGCTGTCATTAAATGAATGCCCCGGTTGTTAGATGAGACAACTTCCTGCTGGCTTCCTGCAATGAGTCATTGGAGAAGTACCAGGAAATTTCAAGGCTTCCCTATACACTGCTGGTAGGGTAGGAAGCAAGAAATTGCATGGGAAGGTCAGAGAGATTGTACAAAGGCCTCCCAACTATTTGGATTTTCAGCTGCAGAGCCAAGGGACTTCCGAAATTGAGAGCTCATTAAGTATGAACAGGTTGCCAAATACCCAGATTGCAAACACTTAATTGTGGGAGGGAGTGAACAGTTTGAACAGTTACTGAAATGAATGGTTGTAAGTCAAGGATAGTAGATGTTTCAATATTATCACCAAAAGGGGATATGTGAAAATAGGAAGGTGGCATATTGAATTGGACTGTTGACTAGCAAATGCTCCCCAGATTTTTTTTATCCCTATAATGAGATGCAAGCAAAATATTGCTTATGAAATAATATGTTTAGGAGCTCCTCCTAAAGCATTTCTTAATCTCTCACCTTCCAGATGCCTGTGAAAGTTATGATGCTGGGAAATAGTTATGTACATTTTCCACACCCCAAGATGAAGATTGACACAGTGGTTAAAACACAAGGCTAGAAAAGGAAGGGAGGGTGGTATGAAATCCAGTTCTGTTGTAGACATGAACTCAGATTATGAACTTGTATCACTAAATTTCTGCAGCCCTATGAAGCGCCAGGTGCAACTCACTTCCAAAATGCTGTCAAGAAAACTGTGGATTTATCCAGGCAGTCACCAGGAATGGAGAGATCAAAAAAGAATCTTTAGAAAACCAACTTGGAAAAGCTCCACAAAATGCTGCTTATACATTGGCATAAACTACAGGAAATGGCTGCCTTTGGTCATTAGTACTCTTAAGCTTCCTGTCCAGTTCTAGGGAGCCTGGCACAGGCAATTGTGATTTGAAAAATATGACTTTTTTATTATCAATTTTGGGAAAGAACTCAATCATCACATTGCAACTATGTATACGGATCTAAGATACGATGCTATGTCTTATAAATTATCATTTTGTGCATGTTCGGAAGGGAATACTTAGAAGATAGTACTAAACAATTTTTAGTGTTCGCAAGAATAGCTGTGACTATTTCCCTTGCTGTTCATGTGCTGCTTAGCAAAGGTCAGATATAAAGAATGAGTAAGACAATATTACATAGCTAATTGCTAGTTTGTCTTGTAAATGCAAACTCTGAAAGAAATTTAAGAAAATCCAAGCCACCATTTCCCTATCTTTGCAATGTATTTATCTTAGCTGCTGTAACCCAGTTAATAAATTAAGAGACAAAACTATGCCCTTAACCAAATCACACATGCTATTTTGGTCTGACTTGGAAACTCAACATTTCCATCTTCCCCCAGGCAACATTAACTTATGTAACAACTTGAAACACATAGTATTCTCATTGCTTGATAATATATGCTGTTTTTCCTCTGTAAATTCAGTCCTTAAACCAATGCCAGTCATTAGTCATTCCATTTACTGGCAAAAATGTGGCAAATCAGGGTCAAATGATCATGGGGTGCTGCAACCCATCATAAAGGCAAGCCAATTGCCAAGCCAGTCATGTAATCATGAGAGGATTGTTGCAACGTTTTAAAATGGCCAGAAATGTTTTGTGGGCTGTAAAATGTGTTTTGTCATAATTTGAAATTGTCATTAGCTGACCAGTCATAAATCAAGGACTACCTGTATGTGTGTTCTTTTCCCAAATAGCCTGTTTTCTTCATCTAGGCATCCTCTGAAAGTGTTCTACATTCTACACTGAATGTAATCACTATGACACAAAATACATAAACATTGAAGAAATTGCAAACTGATGAAAGGGTGATGGGTTCCAAAGGATTGGGGACACTTCACTTTGAGGGGAGAGGTAGTATGAAAGGTTTCAGAAGGTGGAACCAGTCACTTCTGCATTTCCTTCCTCTGTCAGCATAATCTTCTTCAGCTATGAGTTATTTTAGTTTTCCTTCTCATGGGTAAAATAGAAATCAAGATTCAATCAATTGATTTCACATAAACAGGCAGAAACATAGCCTTAATTTGTTTATTATAGTGATACTCCACATTTGCAAACGTAACAAAATACAAAATTAAACAAAGTAAAACATGAAAACAAATAAATAAAGTACAATGTACTAAGATTTTTTTAATTAATACAATTGTCAGAAAACCCGAAAACATAGCCTCCAGTTTTACACATATCATATCTTGGTACAAAAGCCTAAACTTTACACATCTTGAAGCCTTCTAAAGTTATTGAGGCAAAATTTCCATGATCTGTCATCCTTGGTGGATTCACAAATTATTATCCTGATACTCTATATAGATGGTTGTCCAGAGAAAAGGGAAATACTAAACAGCAAGGCTAATATGACAATCAAAAGCAGAAGGTGCAATTACATTTTCACATTAATCATTCACAAAACAGGCTCAGATAAATGTTCACCCATCAGATACCTAAGAGAAGTTGCTAGCAGTCCAATTAACAGAATATATATATATATATATATATATATATATATATATATATATATATATATATATATATATATATATATATATATATATATATATATATATATATATATATATATATATAAACATCACATGCAGCTTCCACCTTCACAAGATATCTTCAGTGAGAACTCACTACAGAAATAGTATCCAAACTGTAAGTTCTCAAAAATCACGAATCTGGTTTAAAGAAGGTGAAAGATAAACCGGGCACATTATTTCAAATGGCTTTATAAGCAATTTGGGTTGATATCTCTCTACTTGAATTTTTTTTTTAAAAAAAAAGTTTATAAAGTAGTAAATGTCTATTGCTCTAGCTCAAGATGTTGCATCCAGGTGGAACTACCAATTGATCCATTAAGTCTCACTGATAGCTTTACATTGTATTTGATTGGGTGAAAGCTTCAATTAACAAGACTGTTCTTCCTTTGGCTCAACATCCCCCTTTTCACACTATTTCTGAAAGAACATCAACTCTGCAAAGCAAATTTGATATGGGAAAACTGTGGTGAGCTATTCCTGAAAATCACAACTTCATAATGAATATAAGATTAATGAGCCCTAGCTTTCAGAGTTTTGTTTAGGGAACTTCAGCTGCATGATGACATGACAAGGCATGTATGTTTGTCGAATACAGAAGAGGAATGTTACCCAGAATGTTAACAGCATGTTCTTCTGAAAAAGAAAGTATTCTTCTGAATCCCCCCTATTTCCCACCATTTTCAAATTGCTATGCAATGTCCACTATGAAGCAATTTCAGTCTTTATTAGATCTTTCTTCCCTGTTTAAGAAGAAAAACAGTTTTAACTATGAATATGTAAATAAAGCAGCTCTGCTGTGCTTAGGATGTAAAAAGGAAAGTGTACTTTTGAGTGTACCTGGATGCATATGTCCATACCAACTTAACTGATGCTAAAAGCAAAGAGACTGACCCTGGTGAAGGTTATCTACATGATCCACACAAAATACATAGTTGGTCTGAAAAACTCTGAAGAAGCTCAGTGCAGTGAACAGCCACCATTTAGTGCTTTTATTTTAATTATACAGTAACAATATCTTGGAAATATCTGCTTTGATAGATGTTAGGAATGATTATATACAGACAGAAATACATACCAAAAGTTTTTACATTAGAAAAAAGTAAATAAGAGTTCTTGCACATTATTAGAAAAAGCGGATAGGCAATTGCTTGAGGAATGAATCAAGAACAAGACTTTTCAACACAATCTACGAATGTAGAGATCAAAATGGAAAGCTGTTAATACATGCATGGAGAGCCAGATTTTTGATATAATACTGCAGATTTTTACCATCATCTTAAATTTTCTTTTTTTTTTAAAGTCAAGTGTTCATTTAGGTGGTCTCTCCTTAAGTACAAAGGATCAGGGATGATATAACCAATTGCAATCAGGATGTTTAAAGACTGGAAAAAGCAGATTTCAAGAACTTGAGCTGTGGCAGGCTGCAGTGATTAAGAGGCCATATTCAAGAATCTGATGGTGCTGAAGTTACTGGCTAGCCAGCAACACCAGATCACATTCATTCAGTTAAGATCACTGCCTAGTGATAGTTTCTTTCACTTACACCCTTTGTATTCTATTAACATGAAGGTGGTGTAAGCTATGATTATGTGATACCTCACCTCTGCAGTGTCAAATACTTGCCAACACCTACTTGACGCAGATTTAAAGAGTCTCTTTATTTAGCAGCATGGAAAAGATGACAGTATTGGGTCCCCCCCACCAAGTCTGTGATGTTTTAAGAAAAAAAAATCTGTTTCTCCACCTCAAACTTGCACCACTCTAATTTTTCTTTTTTCTATAGGGGAAAAAGAAACCCCTGAGGCTTTTTATACTAGAATCATTAGAGGCAAATATAATACTGTTGGTTTCCAAAAAGAAGAAGAAAAAAGCAAAATAAAATTAAGTTCTATTGAATATTTATGTACAAATTTGGTGCAATGAAAACATCAACATATTGTTTTAAGGCAGTAGTACTATTTTTCATTCGTTTTCATATCTACTATAGGGATGGTCGGAATCCTGGAGCAGACCTAAAAAATAAAATTACAAGCAAGTATTAAGATAGAGGTTACAGAATTGTCCTTCACTGAACACGGTGGCAAATAACTATTAAGAATGGAACATCTCAATTTCTGTATGAATACAAAACAAAGGGGATTTTTAGTCATAAATGCAAACAAAGTGCTTGTTGACAACCCCTCTTAGCACTGAGATAATAGGAGTTTTAACTCTCTAAGTCTTGTTTGATCTATGTGTGTGACCTTTGGTAATGTGGCATTCTTCTGGCTCATCTTTGTAACTGGCTGTGGCAATACTATCTTGCTTTGGATCTCCTCCTTTCTCCAGGTCATTTCCAGATGGTGGAGGAAGAAATCAATCCCAAGACTCTACTTGTTTGTACGGCTTCTTGTAGCTTGATGCTCTCCTCATATATTATTTCTACAACTGCAAGTACTGAGTCAGGTTTCATCCATATACAGAGGATATCCCATCATCTTGAAACCAGGATAACCAGGAGATACTGTGAAAGTCTTATCTCAGTGACTTCTTGCTAATGATTGAAAGGAGAAAAACAAGACCGGGCTCAACCCTAGCTAGATTTAAGTGACTGAAAATTCAAGGGTCCTCCATTTCCAGAAACTATTCAAGTGTTTGGGAATTGCAGTTCCAGACAGAACTGCTCACTTCTCCTGGACTTGATCTTGCTCAAGGAGCAGTTAGCAGTTCCAGTCAGAAGGATTTTTCTGTAGATCCATTTTGTGCATCAAATATGCACCTTTTGCAGATTTGAAGTTCCTCTTCCTGGTCACTTACACTTTATGGTTGAACTTTTGCAATGCACCATGTGTAGGGCTGCTTTTGGAAACCATTTATAAGCTAGGCCTGGTTCAGAATGCATGAGAATAAGTGGTTCTGAGTGCACTTTGGTTCAGCTGCACTAATTGTCAGTAGGCTTCTGGGCAAAAATTCAAGGTGCTGATCACCTATGGAGCCTTTTACAGCTTAGGGCCTGCTTATGTATGGAGGCTATTTCGCTTGTGTTATGTCTGCACACTCTACCGTATTAGATCTAATAATATAGGCCTGCTCCATGCCATCATTAAACACTAATCTCATGGGGGTTGGAGATATGCTTTTCGGTGATCATATTTGCCCTATTGGATAGTATCCTATCTCCTGAAGTCTACACAGTCCTAATCTGATGTTGTTGTTTAGGAAAATCCTTCACCGAGATTCTTTCCATTGGGTCTTGAACAAGGGATTTAGGATCCTGAGCTGAAATCAGGATGTTATTCCTTAGCTGTTACCATCCCAATATAAATTGCTTTATTCCTTTGTTTTATTTCATGAAATTGTATGTTGCATTACTTATGAGGCTTATAAACTGAATATAAAAACAAATGAAATAGAAATGAGTTACCACAATTAACTAATGTCCAGTAACAGACATACTGATTTTTACAGCACAAATTTACCTCATTTAAAAGATTTTGTCATAATACATAAAATTAATCTGACTAGAAAAAATTGGCTACTAGAAGTATGTCTAGCACCTCAGAGGATATTTTCATAGACAGATTTTTAGTTCCTACTAAGTGTAGTTTAGCTCAAGATCCCTGGAATAAAAAAAATGGACATCTGTGCATTAAACTGTAAAAATGCTAAATCCTAATAGCCAATTAAAGTCTAGAAGCCTTCAAACCATCCTTCAAGTTAATCCAAAGCGTAAGTCATTCATCATCCATCAAAAATTTTAATCAAGGCAGAGTGCTCCCCAGACAGAAAGAAGTCTCTCTGTGTATATACTAACTAGATTGCTCACCAGTTAAATGAGCAATTGAGATTGGCATATGGTGCTTACATAACAATTCATGGCATTGAAGGATAAGCGGAACAATGGCAGTATCAATACAGTTTAAAGGGCAATCATAACACAATGCAGAAGGGCATTTATGAAACGCGTCTGTTGCACTAGAAAGTCCTATCTTTAATGTCAAGGACAAACAAGATTTACAGAACACAATATATAGGGGGCCAAATGGGGTGATTGGGTTGGCAGATTTTAATCAGTAAGATGCAGAGATAAATTGTAGTGAATATCCATGCAGTAAACTTCATTCTGATATTCACATATGCAAGTGCAAATACACATGTATAATACCAAATGATATCCTACTTATATGCCTCATTATAAGTTGCATAATTAAAAAAATTAAAATACAAGCTACTGTAAATATTACAGTCATGATACAATGCATATAACTATAAGCAACTCTAGAAAGGGAAAACTTCCATAGAAGAGGCAAAATTAATGATTAAGGGGAATCTCTAAATATTTGTTGCTTTTAAAAACAACAAACTCATGTCACTTTTGTCTGGCCTGTTATAATAATGTCCCCTTCAACTTGTGTTATGTCATTACAGTGTGCATTTCCAAACTATTTTCAGGAGAGATAGTAATAGGAAATGGGAAATACCTAATGCACTTGGTTAACAATCCTTTGTTCATGACTGCTTGGAGTTATAATTATGCTGGAATACTGGTGCTTACCGATGTTCTTTGAAGTTCCGGCCATCCTAGCACCCCATAGTCAAATGATCACAATTTATGAAATAGGCTTGCACTTACAATAGTTGTAGTAAATGCAAGCCCATTAGTCATGTGATGCGATTTGCAATTTTTCTCGTTGGCTTCCCATAAGTAAAGTCAATGGGGAAGCTGGCAGAGAAGGACACAATTTACTTGGATCAGTTTCCCCCACCCATGTACTCCCTTCAAAGCCCTCCACACACCATGTGCCACCTGTACACGTTTGTGCACCCTCTTGAACCTCACACCATGCTTCCGTAGCTACTTGTGCAACCTCTCCAGCCACTTATGGACTGTTGCCAAGCCCAAGATTGTGCAATGCCGCCCTCACCACTTGTGCATCCTCAACAGCAGCCACTTACCTGCCTCCCAGCCTACTTCAAATTCACCTGAGATTTCCTCCGGGCTTTCCCATTGCCTTTGGTTGTTGAAACCTGGCAGGAAGGAAATGCTCACCCAATGACCCATGATCCTCAACAATGGCAGTGTGTGCAGGGATTGCCATCATTAAGTAGTGTGGCTGCGTATTATTGTGCTTTATGACCACACGGTGATGGAAATTCAAATCCCAAATGCCATCATACTACACTAGTATTTTCTTTGAATTTATTCCCAGTCTGGCTCATCACAAATGTTTTGGGATTGTTGACTCCTACAATACTGAGAAAATAGTAATGTTTGAAAGTAAAAACTGAATAGTAGTCCATCAATAACATATGGGACTTTGGTACTTTTTGACCTTAGTTATTGCACTGATGATATTACCTAGTTTGGTAATGAAATATCTGTAAGAAGACTCACAGAGGACCAGGGACCTTACAGATCAACCCTGAGCCACTAACATCCCATTCCCTTCTATCGATGCTTAGTCTATTCTGTAATAAGTTTTTCAGTTTAAAGACAATTATGGAAAACATTGCATTTTTCTTCCAGAATGTACAAGAATACAAACATATTTCTAAAAAAATGAATTCTTAGTTTCATTTAACAATGAAAGAATTTGGGAAACGTATATTCATTGAAGAATATATGGGAAAAAACGGAGAAATCCTTGCACAAAGAAACCACTCATGTGGAGCGGTCCACTTTCGAAGTGCTGCTGCATTCTTTCCTCCCCAAAGGACCAAAGCTAGAGTGAGGGTCACATGGAATACATTATTAATGTATAATTACCATTTAAATGGAGAAAGAAAAGTTAAAGGGGGGGGGGGGGGGAGGATGATTTTTTTCCTCTAACAAAACAAGTCTGCAGTCATCTTAATTTAGAAATGTGTTAGCAAATTATTTCCCCTCTATTATGCATTCATGCATAAATATGAGAGAGAATTCCTTTCTCAAAATAGAGTAAGCAACTTAATCTACTGCTTATTTTATTCCTCTGTATCCAGGTGAAACATAAGTGCTTATTTTAATTTTATGGTAAACTGTCCCTTACACTTATAACTGGGTCGTATATGCTACTGATGGCTCAATAATATTTATTTCTTTATATCTATTTTCTTTTTTTTACTCCTAAGCAACTGACACAGTCAAAATTCAACAGGCCTGAAGCTTTAAAATAGCTAACTAACCGTTTGGAGTTTAAAATGCCATAAATATACCAAGATCGTATTAAAAGCTCCCACAAAGTTGCACTTTGTTTTTTATTTTTTTTAAAATTAACTGAACAAGACAGAATTGGATATTTTTGGATGCTAAGCATGGCTTTATATTAATCCCTGGTATGGTGCTTACTAGTGAAAACATACAAATACATGAATCTATTTTTTTCCAAATTGTTTTTCATTGTCCTAAAACAAATTACAGATTAACTCTGATTATATATCATATTAATTATGTGTTATATGTGAATGCGGCCAAAATTTTGAATGTACAATATTGGATTAATGCTATGCCAAAGGCAAACATTTAACCCCCAACACTTACATGGATTAGAAAACTGTATTCAGGCATTGAATAATATGTATGAAGAGATATTGGTTAAACCTGCCCCCATCACTTCACAAGCAGAATGTCTAATGACGCAGGAAAACTGCCTAACCTCACAATTTCACAAATTGCACTGCAGAACACTTAATGATATAGAAACAAATTGAATAAGAGGTTCCAATAATCAGCGATTTTCCTTTGCTAAATAGAATTTACATATCATGCTTTAAACACTGTTGAGACAAAAAGCTTTGGATAGAAATTATATTATACATACCATATTTTCTGCGTAGTTCATCACATTTCACTTTTCTTTCATGTTTCCTACAAAGGTTATTAACATTAGAGAATACAACAAATATTTAAGATGATGATGATGATTATAAAATAAAAATGACAAACTAGTGCTAATAATATTTGTTTAGCTATTACAAACAGGGAAAACCGATTACATCTACAGTCATTTCTATCCATAAATGCAATTATCAACTATATCAACACAAGTTACAATACAGCTGATATTGCAGCGTGATTTTCATGTCTGTAAATATTTCTGTAGCATCTGAATCAATCCTCAGTTCAAAGTTGTTTTCCCTCCTCCAAATTTTATCTGTATTGATTTCCAATGACTGAGCACACATAACAAATGTGGTATGAGTACCAACCAACCTTTTTAAATTTTAGCATGCAAAATAGCTTCTAAAATGAAAGGTTTTTTTGAAGGTAAAACAAATTGAATTCTAGATTATGGCACTTTATAGAAAGATTTAGAAAGTGTCAGTAAATATAATTCCGTATTACCTTGGACAGCAGAATATTTCAGAGACTAGTTTTTTTCTAGTTTTCAATCAACCCCTTTTAATCAACTTCCCTGGGACTGATAATCTCAGCAGCTAAGGACTGCAGATCTGTTGTACACAATAGCTCAAAGCCAACAGTAAATTTTGTTTGACTTAGAGAGAACAAGAACCAAAAGATATCCATACCTCTGGCTTAGAATAGGCAGTGATATCTGTTTAATTCCCATAGGGTTTAGCAAGTAGATTCATTATAAATTCTTTCTTGAATTTAGTTATATCTAACTGATCTATGGATCGTAATCCTCACTTTATTTTTTTATTTTTATTTAAGATAAAAAATATAAGCAATTTCTACTATTGTTCTGATAGTTATAAAAAGCAACCCCATGATCCACTTCATGAGAATTAATACTTGTCTAACATTGGCTTTTACTGACCATAAGGGTACAGTGGTTAGAATACAATATAAGTAGTCCTTGACTTACAACAGTGACCGTTCAAAGTTACAACAGCGCTGAAAAAGTGACATGACCGTTTTTCAGACTCATAATCGTTACAGCATCTCTAGAGTCATATAATCAAAATTTGGATGCTTGACAACTGGGTCATATTTAGGACTGTGGCAGTGTCACGTGACAAATAGCTTTTTCTACCTGCTGACAAAGAAATTCAATGGCGGGGCCAGATTCATTTAACAACCGTGTTTACTAACTTAACAACTGCAGTGGTTCACTTAACAATTGTAGCTAGAAAGTTCATAAAATGGGGCAAAACTCACTTAACAAATGTATCACTTAACAACACAAATTTTTGACTCAAGTGTAGTCATAAGTAGAGGACTACCTGCATTGCAGGCAAACTCTGGCCATTGCCAAGAGTTCGAACCTGACTGTTTCAAGGCTGAGTCAGTCTTCCATCCTTCCGAGCTGGGTAAAATGAGGACCCAGATTGTCAGTGGGCAAGATGCTGACATTTGTAAATTGCTCAAAGAAGGCTATGAAGGACTGTGAAGCAGTATATAATCTAAAGGTGCCATTGCTCTTTATGGAAGTGGGCAGCAAAAAGAAAATACAAGTCACTCTTGTTATGACTTCTAATGGAGATTATTTTGCCTTTTGCATTTTAGAGTAAGACTGAAAGTGACACTGCTATGGAGTGGCTACAGTTAGGCCTTGACATATAACAGTTCCTATAGTGATCACCAAAGTTACAACAGCACTGAAAAAAGTGACTTATGGCTGTTTCTTATGGCAGTTGCAACATCCTCATGGACACATGATCAAAATTCAGACACTTGGCAACTGATTCATGATAGTTGCAGTGTCCTGAGGTCATGTGATCATCACCTTTCGCAACCTTGTGACAAGCAAAGTCAACAGGGAGGCCAGATTTATTTAACATCTTACTAACCTAACAAATGCAATTATTTGCTTAACAACTGTGGCAAGAAAAGTCATTGAAGGAGTCAAAATTCACTCAGAAGCAGAAACTTTGGGCTAAATTGTAGTCATAAATCGAGGACTGCCTGTAATCTAATTTACTTCTTGCCTAGATTACTGCAACACAGTCTACATGTGTCTGGTCTTGAAGCCCATTTTGAAGCTTACAGCTAATCCAAACGGTTATAACCATTTCTTGATACCCTTGTGTGACAATATTGCTATGTCAGTTGTTTGGCTACCGATGGGCATTCAGATAAAATTTAAAGTACTGGTTATCAAACAATTTCAAAATAAAGAAACTAAATGTTTAATTTACACACACACACACACACACACACACACACACACACACTCTTCTCCATCTATTGCAGCAGTAAAGTTAAAAAAAAGAAGGTAAGATGCTGAATTAAGGGAGCAATTCATTAGGGCTTCACCTCAGAAAAAAAATATGTCACAGAATACCCAAATACATGATTAATAGTGGTAGTAAGTGGTAGTAAGAAACAAGGCATTATTTTGATTGTATTCATTTTTAGCTTCAAAAACACATGGCTTTTCAATTTTATCTTCTTTCCGTTTACATCCTGATGGGCTTCACTTGATCTGGAATAACATTAAGCTTGTCCCTTGGTTGATTAGGTGCAGTTAGCTTTTTTAATGCCTTCATAAGTATGCATTTTATTTGTTGTTTTAACAGTCTCTTGGGAAAAATAATAGTAAGAGTTCCCATCTAGCCTTCAGGTGAAAGTCTCTATAATTTTAGATATTTTTCAAGGAGACAAAATACTTATCCAGCTGGCTCTTGTTCTGTAAAACCACAGAACATTTCTGCAACTTTGTCTAAAAATGAAATGTATTTCACTATATTTGCCTGTGATTCTTACATACATGACTTTTTAAAAACTATACGTTATGGGAGCCTTTGGTCAAAACATGTATTTTAAGAATATATTTATTTGATTTATATATTGGATTTCTATTTTCAGTGGCTACTAAATTAAAAAAAAAACTAAAAACCATTTAACTAATGGTTAAAAACTAAAATTATTAATACAGTCAATTAATAATTAAAAGCTTAATGAAAGAGTTATGCCTTTATGATTTTTCTATGTGTACAAAGAAGGAAGCAATATTTAACTTCCAAGAGAGTTTGTTCCATAGCCCACAAGCAATAGAACAGGTTTTCTGCTTCATTCCAGACTAACAATTGAGCATCTTCAAAAAGGCCCCTCTTGCAGATTAGTAATGGCTGCAAAGGTTTGCAACAAAAAAGGTACCCTGTAAACATTCAGGCACTGACTATTTGAGAAGGAGGTGAAATGAAACAAACAAACAAATAAACTAGAGTTTTTGTTGTGCACCTGATCAATCCTACTCAACCAGTACAGTTCCCTGCAATCATCCTCTTTTAATGATCCCATAAGCCCTTGCTGGGTGGAGACTGGACAACTGAATGGGGCTGAATGTTTACTGGCCAGATGCCCTTCTTGTCATCAATGCGGAGTTTCTTTTCAGCACATATATTTTCAATGTGTCCAGAGAGAAATATCTGCTTCTATCTACGTTCGAATTCATAGCCTCCTGATTATGAGACGACCTACACCTTTATGCCACAACCCACTCAGTGCAGATCTCTGCAATGCATGCACATAAAAAAGTATTATTTATCCTTATTTTGCTGTGCAGAACTGAATTCCAGCAGAATACAGTTAGTAGTTCTTGACTTATGACCACAATTGAGACCAGAACTTCTGTTGCTAAGCAATGCACTCATTAAGCAAATCCTATGGTGGTTAAGCAAATCATGTAGTCATTAAGCAAAATCTGGCTTTCTCTATTGACTTTGCTGGTTGAAAAACTTTGCTGGTTGAAAATAGTGATCATGTGACATGCAGCAGCCATTATAAATACATGCTGGTTGCCAAGGGCCCAAATTTTGATACATGACCGTGGGGATTCTGTAACAACTGTCAAAGTCACTTTTTTCATGGTCACTTTAAAAGCTTGATAATTGGCTGTAACTCAAGGACTTCCAATAAAAAGAAGCAGAACTATGGCAGAGCTATTGACAGAATTTCAACCAATGAATAGCCCAGATTGTTCCAATTTATTTCCTGCCTCGCTTCCACTTCTGACCAGCAATAAACTTGGATCCTTGCTTGTAAGCCAACAAACTATTTTAAAGCTCAAAGCTTTTCACTAAGGACAGGCTGAAAGGCATCAGGAATCCTTTTGTTTCTGCAACCTAATAATGTTTTAGTAGCCAATACTTAAGATTTGCTAAGAGAGTGGTGTTACAGTTAAAAATTTCCAACTTACCGTTGAGCATGTTGCAGTTGTTTTTCTTCCCGATCACCAATAAATGTTTCTTCTTCTTCAGCGGCTGCTCTCCTGAAAATGAGAAAATTTTCGTGAACATTTCAGAACAATTATATGTCCAGGTGGCGTTAAATTATTAAATTTATAACAGGGAAGTATCCTATTTTTAATTTTACAGCCTCAAAGCATGCCCCTTTACAAACTGTAAACTAATCAGAAGTAATATCTGTATTGACTTACGATCAGGATGTATCTCAATCCCAGATTATCAAATGCTACTAAATTCACACTTCATCCTAAAATTTTAATTCAATTCTTAAATTAAATTAAACTTATTGTTCAGATTTAATGTACTCTAGATAAAGAGATTTGTTTTATATAAAAATGTACCTCATCTAATATACTCTTATGCATTCAAAGTGGACAATTTATGAGGATACTTGACAGCATAACAAACAGAATAATGAATCAGACTAGTATTACTGAATTTATTTTCTGTTAAGTAGAATAGTGGCCATTCTCTACTTTCAATCCGCATGGAAAAACAAATGTGAAAAACGATCAATAGAAAAATAAATATTTCTTAGCTATTACCTTTTGATTTGTTAAGACAAAATAGGAAATTTCATTTACTACTACTGTACTTCGACCATTTCAAGAAAGAACACTGACATCCAGTGGACATGTTATGTAAGAGATTACAGAATTATTCAAAAAATACCATGAATGTATATATCTAATAAAAATGATCTAGGGGACATTTGACTTGGTTTATTGGTATGCAAGTGTAGTTTAAAGATTAGTTTTCTCAACAGGTTTATATATAACACTGTATGTAAAGTTTACAATATCAATAGGGACTGAGATTTCCATCATTAAGCAGTACAGTCATACAGTGCCATGGCATGTTACTGCATCACAGTGACATTAATCACTGCCTTCCTCTTGTTGTTGTTAATCAAGGATCATGGATAATTAAGCTAGAATTCATATGACATGAGTTGCAACTTCCTGCTAGCTTCCCAGAAAGTGAATGGAGAAGCCAGCAGGAAATCACAAGGTTTTGATGGTTTAGAAACAGGCAGGCAAATGAGTCCTATAGAGTTAAGCAAAGTGGAAGGTTTGTGGTGAGTGTATGTGGGATATGGAGGGGGAGCTGCTGTGTTGCATAAGTGCATGCTAGAAAGAGAGTGCTGCGACATTCCTTTATGGCCTCTTCCCAACTGGCTGCCCCATTGATTTTGACTGTGGGGATCCAGAAGAGGAGATCGCAAATGGCAATCATATGGCTAAAGGATGCAGCAACTATTTTAAGTGTGAACCAGTTGCCAATTGCCCAGATTGTGATCACACTGGGATGCTGGGTTGAGACCCCATCATAAACACTGTTTGTGAAGCACCAAACAGTTGCTGAACAAGTAGTTGTCAACCAATAACTACCTTTATATTATGTGGTGTTTTTTTTTCTTTCAGGCTAACCTGCATATATAAGGGCAATTGAATGAGTACAGGCAGTCCTCGACTTATAACCCCAATTGAGTCCAAAATTTCTGTTAAGTGAGACATTTGTTAAATGAGTTTTACCCCATTTTACTACCTTTCTTGCCACAGTTATTGTGAATCATTGCAGTTGTTAAGTTAGTCATATGGTTATTAAGTGAATCTGACTTTCCCATTGAGTTTGCTTGTCAGAGGTGGCAAAAGATGATCACATCATCCCAGAGTAGTGCAACAGTTATAAATATGAGTCAGTTGCCAACCATGTGAATTTTGATCACATGATTATCAGGATGCTGAAACGGTCATGACACCTTTTTCAGTGCCATTGTAATTTCCAAAAGTCACTAAATGAACTATTGTAAGTCGAGGACTACCTGTAATCCAGGTCTTACCATAGAGACCATCTTGAGAGATCCATTCAGGCGGCTTTTAAAAAGCTGATTAATGTTTTCACAGTTTAACTGATAAGAAGAGGGGATAACACAATGTTGTATATGCATTCTACCTCCAATTCTACATTTGTCTTCTCTAGGATAAATTATGGCCATCAATATTCTACTGAGGTTTAATTTCTCATGCTATGATCAGTTTTAATATTCTGGCAGTGTTATTGTAGTGATTTTTAAAATCTTGCTGTAAACCACCCAGTATCAGGTAATAACATATTTACTTTATAAATATGCTTCATTTTGCACACATTTGGAACTAAGAAAAAATGCTTCAAACAACATCTAATATACAGCCTCTGCCAAATATGAAATTAGTCACAGCTTTAAAATATATCATAGACAAATCAAATGTGGTAAGTCCCATTTTTACATTTTAAAGATATTTTTTTTGTTGTTGGACAGATATCACCGCACATTATTTTATTTTCTAAAATTCCTGTGGGGTCCAGAAAGGCTCCAGTGATATCCTTGGTAATAAAAATGATGTTAGCTAAAAGTTTTTTAATTGTCACTTAATAGGGAGTGAGTTGCGCATTATATGTAAAGACTCTCTAAAATTATTCAGGTAGGAAAAGCCTGGCAGATGCCAAGAGAGATCTCTATGTGTGTAATATAATCAATCATGCTTAGAGCTCAGGTCTAATATTATTTCATTATATCTGTTGCATTTTTTCTGGCAATTCAAGATGATAATTATTCAAGATGATATTCCCTTATTCATTATTTTCCCTAATTATGTTTTTTATTTTTTTCATTTAATTTTTTTATTTTTCTTTCATTTAAATTTTTTCTTTCTAGCATGTAAATAGGGTCCTTATTGGTAGTCCTCGATTTATAACCACAATTGAAGCCAACATTTGTGTTGCTAAGCCAACATTTGTGTTGCTAAGGCAGTTGTTAAGTGAGTTTGGCCCCAATTTTCTGATCTCTTTTGCCACAGGTGTTAAGTAAATTAAGTTAAGTTATTAAGCAAATCTGGCTTCCCCAATTGAATTTGCTTGTTGGAATCAAGAAAATCTATTTAGAAAATGTGGGTACCTTTCGGAACGCTGGCGACATCTGCGGTAGCAATAACAGCAGCAACAAATTATGAACACCAGAATAATGCCAACTACAACAGCTATAGTGATAATGATTGCTTCCAAACTTGCTGAAAATCAGAAGTAAAAAAATGTTAGAAAATGTTCTAATGTAGCCATTAGAAGAGTTTGTCCTGGAAAAAAGTGATTTATGTTCATTATGCTTACAGACATACTCTTATTAAGCACTGTTATGTACCTGTCTGGTAAAAGGGCAGATCTATCACTACAATATCTATTTGCTAAATTCAATTTGTTATGACTGTGCAGTTGCCCACTTCTAATAATCCATATATCAGTACAGTGTGTGTTCATTTATCACCTACTTCACATTAATAGGAAGATGTCACAAGATGCAAAAATGAAAGACTATGAAATCAATGGAACTGTAGTTAATACTTAATGCTATGCCATAATACGATTTGTTTGTCTTTAGCTTATCACAGAACATCCCCCACCAAAAATATGAAGTTTATAAAAACCAGTGGAACAATCTCCAGATCACACCAGGCTGAAAACAAATCACCCTATGGGGAAACATAGTGCATGAACCAGACAAATATCATGTAGTTCCAAAATGCATTATAAAACAGTCATTTCTAGATTAACAATATTTGTCTTTCATAAAATCCAATTTACAACCAATATTTCTGTTGTGGAGAGACTTCAGGGTGGTTAACAAATCTATAAACACATACTGAATATAAAACTGTAAAAATATAATTTACAATTGTTAACAAATACTAAAATCATATTAACATTTGAAAGCCAAATAAAAGCAATGCATCCTTACAAATTTTCTAAAAATTTAGAGTGGAGTCAAAAACATTAGAGGGCATGCTCAGAGCTGGAATGAATAGATAACAAGGTTCTTTCCTCTGTGCTAAAAAGAAAAAGAAAAAAAAGGCGGGGAGAGGCAGACTACAAGAGCATCTTTAAAAAGTCCCTTTCTGCTAATCCTAAGAATTGCATCAAATATAAGACACGATTCCCACATTTAGTCATTACAAAACTATTTTACTGCACTTGATGTTTCACATATATGCCAAAAAACCCTTATTGGCTGTGTTTTGATATCATAATAACCCAGGCTGCACGAGCATTCTTTTCACCTCTGTACATCCTTTCTAAATTAATGGAAAGTTGGAAGGAAATTATTTAAGTGGGGTTGGGATTCTGTCTGTCCATCAGCAGGGTAACTGGAAAACAGAACAGAAGAGATCAGGTCTGGTATGGGAAGAAGTTGGCAAAAGTTGGCAAAAGAGTTGGCAAAAGAAAGATTGAGTTTGGAAATAAGCTGGATCAGGCCAAAGGTTGAAGAGATAAATAAACCTCAGTGCACCCAAATGATGACTGTTCCATTTTAAGCTTGTCACATTCCTGGCCACATGGTCCATTGCAGAGCATATAGTACACAACTCACTCTGTACTTCAAGTTCACATACATACATACATACATACACACACACACACACACACACACACACACACACACACACACAAAGATAATCCATGAGCAGAGTTGAAACACATATGACATAAAGAGTATGTCTGACATACAGAGATACTATGAGCTATGAAATTATACAGACATCTCTTGAGCACCCATGAAGAAAAATAGCTAAATGCAGGTGAAAATCTTTATCAGAGTTTTTCTTGTTGTGATTAGAACAGTGAAGAGAGTGTACTTCTCCACTTCTGCTGCATCCACAGATAGCCAGCGAACAGCTATTTCGGATGACAGATATTTCCTTGACAAGGAACGTTTGGGGGAACTTTTGTAGGGCTCCTGTGAGGATTCTTTTAGGCATCTATTGGGTAAAGTCTCTTGGATTTGCTCTGGGTTGAACTCCAGTTTTGCAGGTCCTATGAAGTGACTGGGAAAATAGTTTTGCTACGTACCAGGGTGGACACCAAATTTGCAGATGATACTAAATTGGCAGGATTTGCTAACACCCTTGAAGATAGGATCAATGCTGGCCTTGAAGACTACATGGAATTTTGCTTGTTCGAATGCAACAATGCATGCAATTTGAGACACCTATAATTTGTCCACATTATATCTCTGTTTCATGAGTTGCTATGGCTCTCAGCAAAATTCAAAGTGGTGTTATTACTTGTAAAGTCCCATATGGCATGGGACCAGATTATGTGAGTGACAGTCCTTTCATCAGGACAGCTATTCATTCCATTAGATTGGTTAGGGCGAATTTGCTCCAAGTCCCCACTATTAAATATTGTCACCTGGCAGGACATAGAAAGCAATTTTTTTCTGTAGCTGCATCTACCCTATGGAACAGTCTCTCCCCTGAAATATGGAATACCTTTACCCTTCTTGCTTTCTGAAAGGCCATTAAGATCTGGCTATTCCATCAGATGCAGATAGAAGACTTCTGTAGTGTTTTTTAAGATGCTACTGATATGGCATGGAGGTTGTGTTAAAAGAGTTTTAATATTTTGTTTTTTTAACTGTGTGTTTGTTAAGCCCTATGGTGTTTTACACAATACTGATACCCATAATATTTTTCGAAATAAATAAACAGTGATCCCATCTCATAGGAGACAGTGAACTGAATGTTCTTCCATAAAGACATTGTAATTATGTTCTGGCCTATGTTAATCAACATATATACAAAATTACATACCCCAACATATTCCCCAGTAAGACTTTGTAAGTGAACACAACGATGATGGTGGCATTATTTTGTTTACAGGATAATCCATACAAGTAGAATTGTCACTGCACCAAAGGCACTGTGAGGAAAAAGAATGAAAAATAAAAACAAATTTATCAGGAAGTCTGAACCAAGCTTATTATTATATCAGCAGTTTTATCAAGATAAACCAAAGCTTTTAACCAAAGCTTTTACAAAATTATCAGTACCAGCAAAAGCCAAAATACTGGCAATTTGATCTATATAAATCCTTAAAGCTTTATTTTTTTCATTACATATTAATATTTATGTTCCATCTTTACTGCACTATTCCAGATAGTTTACATAATACTCTTGCCTCCTTTTTTCCCCACATCCCTGACACAGATTAGGCTTAGATTGTCTGGCTCAAACACCCAACCAGTGTCCATACCTAAAAGAGGAGTAAAATTTGGAATTTTTTAATATGAAATCAGGATCTTAAAACTATAACAAAGTATCAGAAATGTTTTGTCCCATAAACACTTTAAACAGATTGAATGAAATTATGCCATATTTCATCTTGATTTACCAAGATACCATTTTTAAAGGCTAGCAAGCTATAACAGCTAGCATATTTATCTTACAGGTAGTCCTTGACTCATCATAGGTGAGATGAGAACTTCCTAAGCAAAACAGTCATTAAATTGCACACAATTTTATAATCTTGTTTGCTCGAGCCATTAAGTGAATCACCATAATTATTAAGCAAATCTCTCTGGTCATTAAATGAATTCAGTTTTCCCCACCAATTTTGCTTATTGGAAACCCCCTAGGAAAGTGATCACATGATCTCATACCTTGGCAATTATTGTAAATACATGCTAGTTGCCAAGCACCCAAATTTTGATCATGTGACTGGGGAGGACAACAACACAGCAGCATAAGTAAGAGTGAAAACTGGCCACAAGTCACTTTTTTTCCAGTCTCAACTTAAAATTGTTCTTAAAACAAATAGTCTAAGTCAAGGACTACTAGTAATTGATTTGTTTCAGGCCAACTTCCTTAAATTAACCAGAAAAAATTTAAAATGCAAGTAGTCCTTAGCTTATGACTACCAAATGTTCAAAGTTACAATGGACTCCTAAAAATTACAAGTTGCAAAGTTCAGACAGCCAGGCCCCCTTCCCCATAATCACATGACTGCATTTGGGATTTCACCAACTGGCTCCTTACTACCATTTGCAGTGTCTGTAATTTACACTTTTGCCAAAAATCACCCCACAGAGAATAATGGGTTTACTTAACAATTGTGTCATTCACTGAATAACTGTGGCGTTTGCTTAATGTTCAAGGTAATGCATTTAATAATTTCTTTTTAAATGGTTGTAAAATCTGATTAACTAAACAATTATCACTTTACAACCATCATGACATGCTCATAATCAATTGTAAGTTGAGAACTTCCCATTCTTTATCTTGGTAGCTAAAAATGCATTTTATACTAATCTGAGCAAGAAATAAAATGTATTTCTCATGAATTCAGATTATAGTGGCTTTGTTTATAAAATTTTTCCATTGAACAATTTTATTTATGAACATTGCTATGATGAAATCCAGATATATCTTTTCTAAGAACAATGCTGGCAAGGCTGCAGTAGTTTCCCTGCTGCATTTATCATTCAATTATCAACACAATTATCATCATCCCCGGAATTCAGAACTTAAATGATTCTAAAACATTTATGTTGCTTTAACAATTTCAATGTGACTTAGAAGGTATGTGTTCTGAAAAAATTCAGGCTGCATAGATACCATTTTTCTCAGAAAATTTTATCAGTCTTCTTTCCTTTTTCTACACTCTTTTATAGATTTATATCTGTAAAATAAATAACTTGGGCTGAGCAAGAAAAGGGAGAATTTTAAAACATTACTAACAAAGTAATGGTTGTTTACTTGGCTGTTGCAATGACAGGCTTTTCTGGAAAAGATTAGCTGTTCTGCTTGCTGAAAAAATGGGGTCAAACAACTCAAGGACCCTGCCTTAATTAATCCACTCATGAATGAGGAGAATTTGGCATTATTCAAGTTTCTACAATTTCATATCCTAATTTCTTATTCCTTGACACATAACCAGATTAATGAAACATGATGTGATTCTTGCTTGCTGGCTATATTCTGTGTTAGGACCTTTCCACCCTCTTTTATCAATGATGTTCTCGCCTATTTTATCACTGTGTTTCTCTTCTAATATATTCGGGATAAATGCTGCAGTCAAATAATAAGGTCACTGTTATAAATTAAGCCATTCTATGTAAAGATTTATTATTTCTCTGAAATCATTTTTTAAAAACTAAATATGATCTCAACTAAACAAGTGTTTATAAATGAACAGTTCACAATCCAACTTCAGGAAAGTGAAATAAAAATCAATATTGATTTTAAGCCATTATCAGAATTCACCTAGACATGAAATAACCATTAAATGAATTCATGCCAAGAGATTTATTTTTAATTAAAAAATACACAATATTGGTAGTCCTCAAGTTATGACTGTAATTGTTCACAAATTCAGTCATAGGTCATTACAATTGTCAACCCGGATATCACATGGCTGGATCCAATTTTACAACTTTTATTGCAGTTGTTAAGCAAACATCGTGAGATAATTGTTAAGGTTGGGCACCATTTAACGAAATGGTAAATTGGGCGCTAGCTAACAAAATGAAATTCAATGGTGAAAAAAGTAAAGTTCAACATTTAGGCAAGAAAAACAAAATGCACAGGTAGAGTATATGTGGTACCTTGCTGAATAGTAGTAACTGTGAGACACATCTTGGAGTCCTAGTGAACAACTAGCTGGTCTTTGCGCCTGTCGGAGTGCTGGAAACCTGAAGACCAACTGGCTGGTGTGTGCATCTTTGCAAGTGCCGGAAACCCAAAGACTAGTGGCCAGTACTTTGGCGAGCATGAAGATCAGGTGGCCGGCGTGTGCATGCACCCCGTCAGCTGGTCTTTGGATTTCCGGCACTCCAGCAGGTGCAAAGACCAGCACGTGCACGCCGGAAACCAGAAGAGCAGCTGGCAACGGCGTGCATGCCTAGAAAGGGTTCGGCGTGCCACCTTAAAAAAGTAACTTTGAATTATTGCAGCATCTCCAGTGAAAATTGTCATTTTGCAACTAGTATGTATTTACGAAGGTTGCGGCAGAAATACAAGAGTTACAGTAATCTCGATGGGTTTGCATCTATTGTAGTTTCAAAATCAGGTCATAAGTAACCAGTTGTAAGTTATGGATTACCTGTAGTCACATTTACTCCAGTTTTAAAACATATTCAACACATTCGTTTATAGAATTCAGAGAGACAACTTTTCTTTCATGTTATGACAAGCCATGTTTAGTAAATCATTTACAAATTCATTTTTATCTCAATCCTTGATTCCCACCCCCTCCTCCTTTCAGACTTTTTACAGTTTGCCTTCATGTATAATTAAATATATTAAGATTTGGTAACAAATCACAGCTTGTACAACCAACTGGGTAAAACTGAAATTGTGATTTAACACAATTTCAACAGAAGGATTAGGAGCCCACACAGGAAGAATAAATTTGAAGTTTCAATCACTAATTGCCAATGGCTTACTCCTAGCAATGAAATAGCTTTTTTCCCCAAAATATTTATGACACCTTCTTTACATTTGAAAACTCAGCAGGAAGCTGTCAGCTACCACAGAGATAAAAAGAAACGTAACTCAAAACTGCATTTTTATTGTATTCTAAGGAATGGTAACCATAACAGAGAACTGACAACTGCTGAATGAGGTAGAAATACAAATTCATAATTTATAACCAGCCAGATCTCAAACCTTTTGTGCTCTCCTTGCATCTGTACCCTCTTTGAAAATTTGCATTTCTTATCTATCCCTCAGTGTCCAAATATAGCAATCTTTATATTATCTGCAGTCTTTTGTTCATATAAGCCCACCACTGTAGGCTGAAAATGTTTAAGTCACTGAGTTCTAAATGTTGTTGTCTTATAGTTGCCAGTGACCTATTGTTTACTGATATCAAACAAAAAAATGTTTGCATTTTTTAAAAAAAGTCCTTGCCCATAAAATACAGTAAAAATATTTAAATTTTTCCCTTGGTTAAATAAAAATGAAAATACTTACTGCAGTATTTTTTATACACGCTTCACATTTCATTCCAGTAAATTCAGAACATGCTGAAAAAAGAATTAAAAAATGGAAAAGAAAGTTTAAATCTGAAAGTTGTAGATTTTCTGACAAAAATTTACAGATACAGAAACAAAGGCTTTTAGGTTCTAGACAGTCAAAATTTCAAATATATATAAATACTTCAAAAGCGAATGCTTTTTAGGATTCTAGGCTTTAGGAAGACTTTTGTTACATAAATTTCAAGTACATCTAAATAAAGCACTGTTATTGAGTAGCAAAGTAGATTTTATAGTAAATTTCAAAACTGTAACATAATATGCTCAAAGTTAAGTTGTGAAGCATATTCAATGTATATCTGCAGTGTTATACAAAAATAATAACTAGAAAAAAATGAAAATATTTACAAACATTGCAAGCAGCATTTTCTAGTGATTTTTTTAGCCACAGAAGTCTTAAGAACTGCAACCATTTCAGAAAAATTTCCGTGTAAAGTCATTAAAGACTAACTTATACTTACAATTTTACAACATTTTGCTTGGGTATTTTAAATAGTTGATATATATTTTAAATGGAAACTTCTGCAGAAACGCAGTGATCCAAGAACTACAGAGGAACATAAAAGTAGACTGCATCTGCCATGTCATAGGCAGATTAACATGCCTTTTTCGTTCTGAAATTCCTCCCTTTCCTGCCCAACACTTTTAACTATAAAAACTCAAGCCACTTTAAATGGCCTCTAGATCATGTTTCACTGACACCCACATTAACTGAAATAAGGACTGATGTACAGCCAATGTGATAGGGAGAAGTAGAGATTTCAATCTCCTTGCCACCTTCCAAGAGCATCCTTCCACTGCTGCCACATTGGGAGGGAAAGGGCAGGATGAGGCAGAGACAAAGCCCTTGTTTTCTAGAGTCACTAGTTGGAGTACTAAACCAAGACTGTTTTGGGAAAAGAGAGCACAAGCTGAAAAGAATTTTTTGTGGTTATCTACCAGGAAACCCTGGCAAAGTGGAACATGTTTCTCCATGCAAGGGAGAGTAGAATACCATCTTGCCCAAGCAATAAAAGATAGTTGCAATCTGTATGCAGACCCTGGCAGCTCCACTTTCCCCCTTGAATCCTGCTGCTTCGTTCTCCTTCGATTCTCTCTTCAGAATCCCAAGATGCTTTTTCCAAAAAGCAGCTGCCTTTTTTTTTCTTTTGAAAACATTTCATTTACAATCCAAGAAGTTTCCAGAACTAAAGAGGTTTCTTGGATGAGAAACAAAATATTTTCAAAAGAAAAAAACCCACAAGTCAAGCTGCCTTTTGAAAAACGCATCTTTAGGACAACCATGACCTTGATGATTGAGAATCTTCACAGATCTTTCTGCAGAGGCATTTTTTATCCATCACCCCAAGAGCTATGCCCAGATGGGGGTTCCTGAGGTAATACTCTTACTCCTTTTTGCATCAACATCCCCCCTTCAATTCAGCACATCCCAAATGTGGTCCTCTTTCTGCCCCAAGCAGGCCACCTTCTGCCTGTGTCAGTCCTATAGTTGTATATTCTTGTCAAATTTAGTCTGCTTTCCATTAAAACTAATCTGAACCAATTTTTCAGGAAACAGTTATGAAAGGAAGAGACATAGCTAATGGAAGACATAATTTTTCCTTAAAGAAAATTGCTAATAACATTTTTATTTATTGATAATTATAGAAAGAAAATAGTAACTTAAAAGACATGTTAAAATGTTTTTCTTATAATTGTTGTGAAGAATATAAGAAGTCATTCTGTATATATATTTTTTATTTTTCCTGTTGCACTTTTAGCTTAGTTTTTCACTTTTATTCTCTATTAACTCTTAATATTTTGTTGTTCAATAGCAACCAAACTCAATATTGATGTTCTGATTAATATAAAATCCTGCAAGATAAGCAGCCAAAGTGAAACAGCAAAGAGTGTCCTTCAATAAAGTGTTTAATACATTTAGTTCAATGACATACTGTGAAACTATTCATAGACCTTGGAGACTTTTGTACCAATGTATGAAAAGGCTTGTTGTAGACCTTAAGGCAGATGAATCACATGATCATGACAATTAATAGTTCTTTGCCCTAATCCATCAACTCAAAAAAGAAAATGTTCAATATTCATATTTTTAAAAGAAATCTATTAGGGTTGAATAAGCTACAAGTTACTACAAAATAAAAATCATATCTTTAATAAATTAGAACTTAAAATGCTTAACTCTCTCATGCTACGACTCACAGCACCTTCAGATATTTTAATTCAGAAATGTTAGAGTGGTAAATAAAATCCCTCCCTCAACCAGTCCTAAAGTGTCACATATGCCTGATTTTACATTTTAAAATACCTACAACAAAGTCAGCTTCAAATCCATAATACCGTGTCTAGTTCAGTTGTAACCATTTTGTGGAAAATATAGGAAATGCCACTTGCAATAAAATCAGAAGCTCCTGCAGGAGTTTCAGTTAAATCATCCTCTTATAAGAGGAATGCCATTTCCATAACCCTGAAGGCCCAGGTTATTCTGAGTGTTAATTGTAACCAGCTGATGAGCACTGAAATTAAGATTAATTGAGCTAGAGAGCACTGCAGGTTCTGGAGGTTGGAGTTAACAGAGGCGGCCACAGAAATCTGTGGGGAAAACAATACAAGAGCAGGAACTGCATCCAAGGATATGTTTAGGTCAAAGTAAATGATAAAACCAGGTTACTGGAAAGGATGTTCATCTGTAAAAAACAGAAGGGATTTAATACGATTATAGCAGATTATTTTTTAAACAGCTGGGGCGGGGCGAGTCTGCTAATGTAGGAAAAAACTTTACACAAAGTTCTTGACCCTCCTCACTTCCAGAGCCATCAGCTTTGAGACTCCCAAAATACCCAGCCAGTAAGAACGGGGCTCGACTTTCTCCCCACATCTGCAAGACGCCCCTCCGCCAGAGGAAAACGGGGGTAAAAGCGCCGGTATCCTGAAATTTCCGGTACTCAGGAAATATGGACGCCGAGAGAAGCGGGATGGGAAAAGGAGTCCCTCCCAAACGCCGAAGAACTGCACATGAGGCGGTAAAGGAAGCCGAGCCTGAGCGGCGGCCCATACTCCCCGTCCCGCAATGCACCCCCACACCCCGCGCCCGAACAGGGAGGCGGGACCGCTCCTCGCTTACACGGAGCAGGAGTCGACGAAGGGGACGTCGTGTGCAGTTCCATCGTCGGGCAGAGGCATAGCAAGGCGCATAGAACGGCCAGAGTCCAGAGACGCTTCCCGCAGGCCATGGTCACCGACATCGATTCACCCAACGCAAAGCCGACAAGCCACGAACTCCTCCGGGCACCTGCTCTCATAGAATTCAAGGATAACTTATTCCCTGATTCGCGCAAGCGTACTTTAACAATGTGGGAAACGCCCAGATCTCTGGGCGAATAAGAACGCTCGTCACCGCCCACGTGATCTTGATGCGTTGTGGGGGGGGGCAGGGTTCCTTTCCTCTCTCGCGCGCGTTCGGTTCGTCGCGCCGTTTCTAGAAATGGAGGATGAGCGTGGGGGGGGGGTGAGCGGGCGGGGAAATCTTTGGCTGTGCTGTAAATAAGGTGGGTGGCGGGTTGCATGAACTATTTCTATTGGGCAGCGCTTCTCATCTTCAGTAACTTTTAAGAGGGATGGACTTCAACCCCCAGAATTCCTCAGCCAGTATGGTAGGTTCGGGAATTGAATTGCGTTCCTCTTAAAGTCCTAGCGGTGTTTGAGAAACTCTGCTTGTTGACTGGGGAACTCTGGGAGTTGAGGTCCACGTATTTTAAAGTTGCTGGCGTTGAGAAGCGCACCTAGATCACGTATTTTACGGAGACAGGTTGGAGCATAATTTTCGTTGGTGGAAATCAGGATTACCTAACGCAGTGCTTTCAGCACTTGATCTCTGAGACTGATGTGAATTGCAAACCTCACGCAAGCTCTCATTTAGTAGTTTGCCTGACAAAAAACCTTAAAAGAATTCTTAAGTTTTCTCATTCTTTTCAAACTCTTTGCTACTGCCTTATAAAGAGCTTCAACTCTTGATTCTGAACCTATATGGCTATGATCTCCCCACCCCACCCCCAATCATAGGAGTTAGTTTGAAGGAAATATGAACAAGGGCTTCCATTGTCAATTAGTGCAAACTCTTTTGTTGTTAGTTACGAAGTCTTGTCCGACTCATGGACAACATTCCTCCAGGCCTTCCTGTCCTCTACCTTTCTCTGGAGTCCATTTAATCTCATGCCTACTGCTTTGGTGACTCCATCCAGCCACCTTATTCTCTGTCATCCCCTTCTTCTTTTGCCAGAATTAGGCTTTTCTCCAGTGAGTCCTTCCTTCTCTTAAGTGGCTAAAGTATTTGAGTTTCATCTTCAGGATCTGGCCTTCTAAAGAGCAGTCAGAGTTATCTCTAGGACTGACCGGTTTAATCGCCTTGCAGTCCAAGGGACTCGCAGGAGTCTTCTCCAGCACCATAGTTCAAAGGCCTCAATTCTTTGGTACTTTGGGATTGTGGTTATTGACTGACTCTATGATGTGCCTTGCTTAGCAACTGTTTCATACAAATGACTGTGATTCTGCCTAACTGTGGTCATAAATCTACAAATCTTTAGCAATTGTTCAATTAGAACTGTGGCAAGTAACTTTGCAATCGACCCTGGCACTTAGGACATTCACAGGCCTGTAAAGCAATGGACATCTGATTTAAGATCCTAAGCTGGGTTGTCATTTCATTAAGTGACCGTTTTACTTAATGACTATATTGCCTGTCCCAATTGTAGTTGCTAAAACAACTACAAATCTTTAACTGCTACCTTTTGACTCCCTCCCACCTCCAAAAAACTCAATCAGAATACTTGAATTTGTACTATTACAATGAAGACGATTTTCTATATGTCAACAAAATAGTCACCCTTTGGAAAATAAGGTTTTATTTTTTTTAATTAAAAATACACACTTTACATAAAAACATATACTATAAGGTATTATTAAATGTCAAAAGCAGATTTCTTCACAGGAGGCAACGCTGATTAAATACATTTCCATGCAACACAAAGATAAACTTTATTCTAAAATGAGTGGTGGGATTCACATCCAAAATTTTGCATTTGAAAAATTACTCTCATTTAAATCATGCCAGACAAGATAAAATTCAAAAGAAACAGATCAATGTTATATCCAAGTCACAGTTTAATAGCTCCTGCATGCACAAGCAGTCAGCACTGTCAAAAAATCCATTTATAATAAATATTTCATTAAGAAAATATACAAAACCTAACTAGACAAGCAGTTCAATTTCTCTTCAACATCAGTGAGGGATATTGTCTACCCACATAAGGTGATTAGCTGGAGGATGGGGCAGAGGGCAGAGAGCTATTACTCTGATGCCACTTAACATGCTGGCACTGATGGCAACTTTCTCATTTTGCTTAGAGGCCTTGTACTCTTAAAAGAAGAAAAGCAGTATGGGCAGTACTGAGCTTCAGATTTAGTGATATAAATCAGAGGTGATATTCAGCAGGTTCTGACCAGTTCTGGAGAACCGAAAGTGGAAATTTTTAGTAGTTCGGAGAACCAGTAAATACCACCTCTGATTACCCCTGCCCCATCTATTCTCTGCCTCTCGAGTCCCAGCCGATTAGGAGGGAATGGGATATTGCAGTAACCTTCCCCTGGAGTGGGGTGGGAATGGAGATTTTACAGTATCCTTCCCCTGCCACGCCCAGCAAGCCATGCCATGCCCAGCAAGCCACGCCCACAGAACCAGTAGTAAAAAATTTTTGAATCCGACCGATGTAGACCACAGGTAACCGAGCAAGGTTTGATTGGGTTCCTGACATTATAGCCAGTCAGGACATATATAAAGGCTACAAAATTATATTGTTTTATATAATTTTATTAACCGTATGGCTATAAGAACAAGAGTAGTCAGCCCCTGTTCAGTTGCCTGTGGTCCATGTGGCAGACAATTTTGTCTCTGAAGATGGTAGGTAGAATTGCTGCAAAACATCAGGAAATCTGTTCCCTAAACGTCACTAAATCTTGAAGCACAATACTGTTAAACAGATACTGGCTGTGAAAATCTATACCCGGAAAAGGAAGTTAGTATTTGCAGAATCCCAATACATTGAGTTAAAATCCATTAAAAAATGGCTTTAATATAGAACAGCCATCTATGGAGTCATGACCAAACTGAAACACAGCAATCCTGGAAAGTGTTATCCGAGCCATCCTCTTCAGATATTCAAAGCACCAGCCATAATACAAAGTATATCCTCCACCATTTCAATCAAATTCACCCGGCTCCTGAAAGATCATCCTGACGTACTTTCTTTCACGGAACTTGAGCTAACAGAGTAGAGTACATAATGGAGTATTTATTTTGGAAAACAGTTTTAGAGAGTATGTGGCTATATCCATGCCAACTCAATCAATATATTTTTTGGCGTACATTCAATTGTGTCTGATTATCAGAAACTGCCTGGACAAGTCCCTGAAATTTTCAAGATTTCAGAAATGGCTTGCCATTGCCTCTTTCTTAGGGCTGAAAGACCAAGTTCGTCCAGCTGGCTTTGTGCCTAAGGTGGGACTAGAACTCACAGTCTCCTGGTCTTGATACCTTAACTACTACACTATCCTTAACAAAGGGTAAAACAGAGCCTTTAAGCTAAGTACATCAGCCCCATCATTTATATTGCATGATGTAACTGATACATTGTATGCTAATTATTTTCAGACCTCCTTTGTTTTTTATACAAGGAGCTTATATATTATTCCTTTCATTTTTCCTGCAAAAACAACTCTGAGGTAGGAAGCCTGAGAAAGAATGACTAGTTCAAAATCACCCATCAAGTTTCTAAGACTAATCTGGGTCTTCTCACTCATAGTCCTACTCATTAGTAAGATGAGAATTGCAGAATAAATAATCAGAATGCATTTCCTTAAGATTACCAAATTCTCCAAAAGACAATAGAAACTTAATACCTGAATGGGAGAACTGAAGAAGAAGCAATGTTATATGTTTGTCATTAACATAACATATCTTAAAACCTGCCCTGCATTTTGAAGCTGTTTTTATGCGTAATTCTCATTAACTTCAGCTATTTGAAGGGAATTGTACTCACTTCCCATTTATGAATTTTATTTAAGTGCAAATATAAATCCTTTCTAACATTGCATTTTTAGTTGTAAACAGTGCAAATATCACTGTTAAGAGTGTTACATACTCAATATTTCTGAGAAATTCCTGATACAAAACAAAGTTATCAATGACTCAGGTTGATGTGCATATAATTGTAATGGTAAATACAAAATAAACATTAATTCAGAACAGTTTCCAATAATTTACCTAAAGAAATAGAGATCATAAACAAAACTTTGCTTTCTTCAATTATTGTTTACTATTTTTACTGTTTAAATCAAATTAAAAAATAATATTCTTAGAAGTCAATAAGAAAGATACTAGATTTAACTCAATTTCCAGAATATGTTTAAAAGCTTTTGTAACTTCTTATTCACTTAAAAAAAGAGATCAAATAGCATACTTTAAAGTTCATATCTGTTTCTGGTACTACTTAGAAAAGAGTAAATTGGGGGGAGGGGGGAGAAATCCTACTGAAAGCATAGTCTCCTGCGTAAGAAAATAAAGTGAGATCTACGACCAAGCCAGTATGCATGTAACAATACAGCAAGTGTTTTTAATGATGATCTCATCTTCAAAAGTGTAATATTATATAAAAATATTCTATATCCAGTATAATTTATTTGGAACATGGCTTTCAGGAAACCACTTATAAAAAGTAGCCCATAAATGGAATTCTCTACTTTAAAAAAAAATCTAAAATCAGAAAGGCATTTTTCAATAGAATAGGAAGATTTTCTTCTATGTTAACAAATATTTAGAATACTTATTATCTTAAGTAGAAAGAAAAAACACGTTATAAAAATATTTGATAATAAAAGGATATATATACCACGGTAGCATAAACCCTTAGGCAATTGCAGTCCAACTTTTGACTTTGCCCCCATAATAAATCCTGAGACTATTCTGATATTGATGTTACCTTACTTATATGTTTTGTCTGTAAAAAGACTTTTACATAATTTCTTTTGTTGGAAAAAAGCAGTTTTAACATTTTTTTTAACAAAACAAAATATTTTTTAGACAATGTAGTTTTACTCCTGCTAATTAGTGTTATGCTTCTTTAGAAATGGTAATCTTTATAGGAACAAAGTTAACAAACATTAAAATTTTGTATGTGCATAATGAAACACAAAAATTGGCACAGGATTGAATGTGTACACAAACTATTACTATGCATACTGAATGTCAAACTATTATAAGTAGTCCTCAGGTTATGACCACAATTAAGTCCAAAATTTATGTTATTAAGACATTTAGGTGAGTTTTGCCTCAATTTATGACCTTTTTTGCCACAGTTAAGTGAATCACTTGAGAAGTTGATAATTAGTTAAGTGAATTGGCTTCCTAATTGACTTTGCTTCTGAGAAATTCACAAAATCTGATCACATGACCTTGGGACACAGCATCGGTCATAAGTATGAAACAGTTGCCAAGCATTTGAAATTTAATCACATGATCATGTGGATGCTGCAAAGGTCTTAAGTGGAAAAATGGTCATAAGTCACTTTTTTCATTGCAATTTTAGCTTTGAATGGTAACTAAATGAACTGTTGTAAATTGAGGACTACCTTTACTGTATAGTTTCAGACAAAACCAGTTTACCATTTGTAAAAATAAGAAATGACTTATCAGTGAAGAAAAGGTTTAAAATACAAATGTTTCAAATTAGAGGCATACTACAGTAGGTCCTTGACTTATGCCAATTAAGCCAAAGTTTCTGTTGCTAAGTAATACAGTTAAGTGAATTTTGCCCCATTTTATGATCTTTCTTGCCAGTTGTTAAGTGAATCATGCAGTTAAGAAACATGGTTGTTAACTAAATCTGGCTTCCCCACTGACTTTGTCAGATTTTTGCAAAAGGTGATCACATGACCCTGGGACCCTTCAACCTTTTTAAATACATACCAGTTGACAAGCATCCAGATTTTAATCACGTGATCATGGAGATACTGCAATGGGTGTGTAGAAATCAGCCATAAGTCACTTTTTGCAGACTTCAAATCACTAAGTGAATGGTTGTAAGTTGAGGACTACCTGTAGTCAGTGGTGGGATTCAGCCAGTTCGCACTACTTCGGGAGAACCGAAGTTTTGAAATTTCTGAGCAGTTTGGTGAACTGGCTGTTGGAAGAAATCATTAGGGCAGAGAGTTGGTTGTTAAATTATTTGAATGTTACCATTGCCTATAATCTGGTAAGAAGGATAAGTACTCTTTGATGTGCGATCAGAATTTCCTTTGTAAGTTATTGCAGTTATAAAATGTGACCAGATTGATTTTACACCATTTTCACCAATGCTTAAGTGAATCACCACAGTTAAGTAATTCATGTGATCAATAAGCAGATCCACCATGCCCAATGGACACTTTTAATTGAAATCAGCTGGGAAGATAAAAAATTGTGATTCCCATGCCTGCAGGATGCAGCAGCCAGTCGTAAATGCAAGCTGATAGCCAAGAACCCAAATTGTGATCACATGACCACAAGGGTGGTGTGCCAGACATTAAGCACAGGTTGTAAATTATTTTTTTTCTGGCCATTGTAACTTTGAACCATTGTTAAACAAACAGTCGTAAGCTGTGGACTCTCTGTACTTAACTGTTTCACATACTGGAAGACAAACAGCGCAATAGCATTTTTCTGTACTATGTTTTATGGAAGAAACTTGAGTTCTGTAAAAGTAAGAGGATACTACTAAAGTTTGTTGTTTATAAATTTACAAAAACTGCTGGTTTCAGAGGCCCTTAAAAATTTGCAGTCGCTTCTAGTATTTCAGCCTGATCATTCCCATTTCCTATCAATCTAAGTAATGGAAGTAAAAGTCACCAAACTACACACACCCTTGCTATAGTTGCAGAAGTTTCTAAGCTGTGGGAAAGCACTTAACTTGTAAATGGGGGAGAATACGCAAAGGGATGCTTGGCTTTCTTGACCCATTCTTTTAAGAAGCACACGTCACCACAGGGATGTCAATTTCAATGGCAGAGTGCCGTGATCGCGCAGCATATGGCTGGGAAGCATAGCTGTGCATACTAGGGGCATGAGAATATAGAGGCTGCCAGAAAGGGGAAGGTAGGGTCTTGCATGCACAGTACCAGAGGCATAAGAGAATAGCTGTAAATAATAAGCCACCTGCACTGGCAATAGCAATGTAAACAGAAATGTCAAAGGTGAAAACAGGCTCATATTTTTGATTCAGCTCTCTATTATAAAAGATGACCCAGACTGATGGTATCAGGCAAATGACGCAAGCAAGAAGAAAGAAAAGGCCGGCCACAAGATGGCAGCCTGCACTATTGATGAGGCATCTGACCTGCTTGATGTTGGGCACGGTGGATACAAAGGCTGTGTTACACATGCCAATTAAACAGAGAAAAAGGGCCAAGACAGTGGTCAACATGCTAATGGGAAGAGCCAACTGGAGGACACGCAAATCTAGCTGGTCGACTGTTTTGTACCACTTGGTGTCATAAATGACACAGTCTTTGCTCCCATCAAAGCGAACACACTTAATCCACAGCCCGGTGTAAACGGTCACATTCTTTTCATTTTTGTTAAAGGTGTAGAGTCGTATTTGTCTCCAGTTTGGAAGCAGTGCGGCAGCAATGAGTCCCGATAAAGCAGCTGTTCCAGAGAGGAAGGCTAGGACCGTCGCAGCATGAACGTCCCGGCAGCCCATTGCAATGGGTGAAAAAGGTTCCTGGAAAAATTGGGAAAGAGCACCAAGGAAACTTGTATGAAGAATTCATTTTGGTGTGATGAAAAACCAAGAAGAAATGGTGGATACAGCTGACCTTGAACGTCAGATTCTTTGCAGTAAATGATTCAATGTTATCAGCGTATCACCTATTGGTAATCCTCAACTTATGACCATAGTGGAACCTGCCCATTTACAGCTGCAGCTCACAATGGCTAATTCATTTAATGATCTCCCATTTTTATTCTCCCCAATACACTGTTACAGCTTGGGTGACCTAGTGGTGCGGAAGGCACTTGGAGGCCCAGATCTGCCTGCTCCAGGCCTCCCAAGCTCGCCACGCCATTCCTGAAGCATCTGGTGCTCCACTTCCTGTCCCTAGGGATTCCTGGTCAGTCAGCCCCGGAAGGGACCCTAAGGAGCCACTTGTGCACAAAGGACAGGTAGAGCCTGTAGGTCAGTGAAGGCTAACCTTTTTATCATTGTGCGCCAAAAATATGCATGCGCGCACCCATAATGCAATGCGTGCATGCATCCATAATGCAATGCGTGCATGCATCCATAATGCAATGCGTGCATGCATCCATAATGCAATGCACCCACGCACCCATAATGAAATGCATGCACAACCAACATGCACGTCCAAACCCCTGCACATGCATGTGCGACCACCCCGTGTGCAACCCGCCCTCCATGCATGTGTGCATGATCCCTGCACATGAATGTGACCCCCGTGTATGCATGGCAGAGACCCCAAAACCAGCTGGTTGTTGGGAGGCGCACACCCATGTGCAGTGGAGCTGAGCTGGGACGATGGCTCGCACACCCGCAGAGATGCACTCATGCCATAGCTTTGCCATCAGGGCTGTAAGCCAATGGGATACTTCCCATTCAGCAATTCAAAGGATTTGCAGGACTTGGCCTGTTTCCAGCCAGGCCACTTAATACAGCCTAAAACAGGGCAATAGAAGCCACCAGAGCAAGAAACTGTTAAATCTAGGCTCAGTCTACTTCTTATCCAGCATCCCAGGGGCTTACAAGTCTTGACCCTACCTCACATTCAGCTCCAGGTCCCAACAGCACCAAATTTACCTTTTTGGTTTTTTTGCAGAGTAGCCTGGCTGATGCAATGCAAGACTCAGCTTTCTTGCAAAGCTTCTGGCCTCATGGCAACTTCATTCTATTCTACAAGCAAGCAGTACTGCTCAAGACACTGTTGGGATTTTTTAAGGCAGCTCCACAGCTAAGCTTTGGAGTAGCCTGAGGCTTTCAGGGACCTAACGGTATAGGTGAGGAAGATAGCTTTGGGGAAAGGGAGGTACTGCAGTTTCCTGTGGTTGGTCATAAGGGTGAATAATGGCAGGGGCACTGAAGTGGCTGTAAGATTAAGGCAGGGTCATAAATACCTTTGGATGGTCTGTCGTAGCTTCAAACAATTGCCAAGCTGTAAGTCAATGGCTACCTATAATATATTAAATTTGGTCACAAAAAGCAATGCAAATAATCAATATAATTATTTGAACTGGTTTCTTAAGAGCCACAACCCTTATTTACTTACTGAAAATAAGGTCAAGTGAATTAAATTGACTGTCAAGTAAATGAGCATATTAAATAAGTTTCTACTTCTTGATCTACATTCAATCATATTCAACCATTTAATGGCAAAGGAATGTAATTTTAATACAAAAAGCTATGTTACACTAAAATAATTCCCCAAAAATGTAAAAACTGACTCAATTACCGAACACTTGTCTATTTGTAATTTTAGCTATTAGTACAAGCACATACAGAATTTGCTATCTGACTTTTTAATTAAAACTAATTTGCACTGGTCTAAGCCTAACCATGTTATTATTAGTTAAGATATAAGCCAAGGTAAGTACTATTCCTCAGCCCTGAGAATGGAATTTAACTTAAAGCTGTAATTAAATTCAGATTAATAGAAGAACTCACATATGTAGACCAATGTTTCTAGAGCAAACATAGCTTTATTTTGAGTCAGTGGCCATGTTTGCATACATTTATAACATAGGATTCAACTGAAATTCAATTTATCATTAATAAGCTGAATTTTAGCATACTTAGGCCATTCACTTGCATTTTGCTCCTCGCATTTGCATGATAGTTAAACATACAGAAAAACAGCAGCTTAGAATGATGCCCAAACTCACCCTGGAATCTTTGTTCTGCATGAATGCAAAAGAGTGCAGTTAACCATAGCAACTCTAAAATACTTCAATTCCATTTTAAAAAGTACCCACACCTCAGCAAAATATTTAATTTCAGACATTTTTGTTTCTTAAGTTTTCTTTTCATTAATCTGTTTCATTGGCAAACTTCTTTTTGAAATGCCTGGCCCTTTACTATTTTTAATAGATACATAGATAGATAATAGATAAATAGGAAATTTCCAATTTATAATATTGCTCTATCTAGATGCACAGCTGTCCTGGAGTTGTGCACTTAAACTAAACATAACTTAAATATTACACTGAAGGAGAGCTGTCACAGTCATTTTTAGCATTCGCGATAAGTTGGTGAATCACTGTGAAACATAATTTTGGATCAGATGACTTGAAAACACTTTCCTCTCAATTGTTTCACTCACATTTTTATATATCTGTGGTACAGAATACGAACTGAAACTAAGATGCTACACTCTTCAATTTATCCTGCAAGTGCTAAAATGAATGAAACTGACTACCACCAATTCCTTACATAAAGAAAACATATTTTAAACAAATTTGTGTCTTCAGGCAAAATATCTAATATAGATGCTAAATCTATAAGAATAAGTAGCATCAATATATCCTTCATTACTTTTCTCCAAGACAGTATTTTCTCAAAGGCAATATTTTAGGTGAACACTTTATTCTGCTCATGCTCCTCAACATTATGTTGAAGGCAGATTCAAAAATGAGTTTGTATTGTTTGCAAGCAGCAAATTCAAATGTCTCAGTAAGACATACTTTTTCTTAATTTCCAGTTGCAAGAATGGTGTGGATACCCATAACTATATTGTAGAAATGTGTCCATACAGAGAATCCAATGCCAAGTATATAAAGCATTGCATAGACATTCAGTCCCTAAATATAGTAAAATGCAGTTGCCACTCTTTAACACATGAAACAAGTATCTTAACATACTGAAAATCAATTATTTTCATTAAGCTTTTCTATAGCTTCATGTATCTACTGTGGTCCTTAAAATGATCATCTGCCCCCCAAAACCCCAACAGTCATTCATAATTCTAAGTATTGTGAAGTATTCAAAATCATTGAAAGAGCATAAAAATACACACAATGTTTTCAACATAATATATCTCAAATCAGAGTATGGAACCAAAATAGACATGACACAGGGTATGCATACCTCATTCAGCCCCCAATCAGTTCTATAAAGTATATGAATAACAAAGCTAAGAAAAAATATTGCTATATGGTAAGACACTTACTTGTACACTGTTATCTAACTTTCTTCAGTTCCAATTACTGTAATCAAGAGAAATTAAAAATCATTACCAAACAAACATTTAAAAAGAACTAAAAAAAATGAAGTATTGTATTTTGTTTACATTGCTGTTTATGGCTAAGATGGTGAAAGAAACTCACAGCCAGATGAGTTAAATTACGATTCAGGACAACATATAAATACCTATTTGAAACATGCAATTAAGAGACAATATAATTAGAGTTCTACCAGCCAACTTGATTCATCCTCTGCCTCAAAGCAGCCAATCAGAACATTTGTAAAGACTATTTAAAGATAGGGGTGTTGCCTTTCACAAATTTAGCCAATTTTAACTAAGTTCATATAAATCAGATCCCATGACAACTTGTAACATCAAATCTTACAAAAAGGTAACTATATTTTCCCCCTCATCTATCCCATCAAATATTTTCATAGGATGGCCTCTAATTTTAAAGAAATGTAAAAACTGTTTTCTTCCAAGTATTAAAATATTTAGCTTATGGGGAATATGCTCTACTAGGCAGGCAACAAGATCCCCTCCCTTATCATTCAAACCAGCCACGCTGGTTTGAAATTCTGGATCTTGTGCTTCAGGAACATCATTGTTATCATAATTACCCAATTTTGCATTGGCAGATAAGCCTCTGACACTCAATGAGGCAGAGCTGCAGTTTAAGTATAACAAACAATCGTAATAATCATGATACAATCGCATTTCATAGAAATGAACAATACACAGATAAAAATATGACAAAGCCTTAGCGATCTGGACCGGCAGGAAAGAAAGCTCATTAATGTATAATGAAAATTATACATTTGTTGATAAATAGATAGGCAGACAGCAAATCTCCCCTTTCTAACCTGCTTCCCACGCACAATGCACACACTTACAAATACCGAATCCATCTTCGATCTCTCGGATTTTCAGGAAGTGGCTGCCTTTTCCAGGTCTGCCCAAAGCTTCCTGGGACTGTAGTTTGTCTCCACAGTTCTCTTAGTTTCCAGGTGCTTTCAAAGACTACAATTCCCAAGATCCTCCTTTAATAGCTCTTACTGAAGTCTACACCTTCCCGGCTGTAATTGAGATTGTCCTATGAGGACGGGATCGGGGTTAATTGCCAAAAAGAAGCAGTTTGCATGAAATGAGCTATCGCCTTCAAGATTTTTTAGTTGTTAGGGCTGTTTTACCGCAGTTTTTTTAACAAGCCAGTGTGAATTCTGCGAATGGATTTTTACCCTAAAAATATTAAAATGGATGTCTAATTACAAAATATACAGATATGACAGTATTTCTTTAAGTCTTTGTGACGCTTTAAGTTTCATTTGGAAGAGGTGTTTTTAATGAACATTAATACAATTATCGTTAGGACAAAAAAACAGTTCCGTTCCTGCAATGCATCCGTGGACTGATTATTGATTTTGAGCTGTTAGAACTCACAACTCTAGTTTGAACTGACAATAGCCAAGTTTTAAAGCAGTAGCTGATTTGGCATTAGAAAGACAGCAAGCTGCTCTTGTTTAAAAAGGGAACGCGTGCACAGCCAAATCTTGGATTTGGGAAAAATTGACATGACGTTTTACAGGAAAGTAAAATGGGAAGGCCATCTCACACAAATCTGAATATGGTGCAATGGGTGTTCTTGATTTTCAGCAACTATAATAAGAGGGATGCCAAGCATTGCCAAAAAGGAATAAGTCTACCCGCCCTGGGCCTTCATTTTGCTCATCTCCACCTTCAGAGAATTCACATCATAACTAGATGAAAGTTTATTCAGAAGCTAGTTCTACTGGCTAGATAAAACCAGCCATTATATATCTAATGAGCCACAGGTTATGGCATGAAGAGAAGTGTACATCCATTATGGCTTAAATCAACTATTTTCACAATAAATTATAGTTTAGCAGGATACATTAACCAGATGGTTTCCTGCTTTCTCCAATTTGGTCTTCATTACTGGCTTTCCATTTCTCCAGACAATTCTGGAGAATGAGGAGCTGTCAATTGTCTAACAACCTTTTTTGTCATCTACAGAACAAGACATTTTATAGCACACCATCCTCCCAGGTAGTTAAAATTCTCCAATGGGTACATTATATTCTGAGCCCCAAATATTTTCACATCATGGTTAGATTTTGCATTTATTCTTCATTAGATATGAAGTGCAAAAATAGTTACATGAATTACCGAATGGCATTCTCAGAATCCCCATGTCATACTAAGCTATGTTTGATTGAATAAACCATAACGGACTAGATTTGCACAATATATCATTAGAATTATAGAGCTGGAAGGAACCTTGGGAATCTTCTAATTGAACCCCATGTTCAAGCAGATCCTATATCATTCTGGACAAATGGCTGTCCTATCTCTTCTTTAAAATCTAGTGATAAGCACCTACAAATTCTGGAGGCATGCTGCCCCACTAATTGACTGTTCTGACAGGAAATTTCTCCTTGGTGGCGCAGTGGTTAGAATGCACTACTACAGCCTACTTCTGCTGACTGCCAGGTATCTGCAATTTGGCAGTTCAAATCTCACCAGGCTCCAGGTTGACTCAGCCTTACATCTTTCCGAAGTGGGTAAAATGAGGACCCAGATTGTTGGGGGCAATACACTGTCTCTGTAAACCATTTAGAGAGGGCTCTTTAAAGCACTGTGAAGCGGTATATAAGTCTCAATGCTATGCTATTGCTATTTCTATGTCGGATTTCTCTTGTTAAGCTTTGATCTGTAGGTCTTGTATTGCTTTGGAAAACAAGTTGACCCTTCTCTTCCATGTGACAGTCTTTCAAAAACTGGAAGACTGATAACATGTCTTCTTTTTCTTAAACTAGACATTCTCAGTTCCTTCATTGTACAGTTTTTAGCTTCCAGTTCCCCAATCATCTTTGTACACTTCTTTATACTCTTTCCAGAGTCTCAAAAATCTTTTTTGTATCCCACTGATCAAAACTGGACATAATAGTCCAAGTATGGTTTTAGTAGTGCAAAATAAAGTGGTACTAACACTTCATATGCTAAAAGATGTACCAGTGCAGGACTTTCTACAACTGCCACTAGAATGGCTATAAGTAATTTAAACATTTCTATCCAAAGTATTTCCAGAAATCACTTGTAGCATTAGGTATTTCTAGGACAATGTGTTGTGCTCTCTCAAAATAAATAATTATTGTATTCTTCTTGAAGTCTTTCATAAAGAAAACTGAGCACCAGGATCAATATATGAGTACATATTTACATGTTTTAAAAATTATTCTACAAATTTCATGATATACATAACTTTAAAATCTGCATATGTTTTTACTATTTTGCAAGAACAAAATACAAATACTTATGTTTAAGAAAGAGAACCAATTAATTACAGGCAGAATTACAAAACTTGAATTAATTTAATTGAAAAAATGTTGCTATATTTTTGAGAGATGCAATGCACTGAGTTGCTCCCTCTGATAACTTTCAATCTTTTCTTCTGCTTCTTGATCTATTATTTTTCTTAAGCATGCAATCAACTGCTCAGACCCTTCTCCAGTATGTGCAGATATAGGAATGATCTCTTTGAAATTGACAGCGACTTCAGGAATCATCTTTGGTGGAAGCAAGTGTAAATAATCTGAAAATAAGAAAATATGTCATAAATAACTAGGCTAGAGAAAGCTACAACGAAGTGTCCTAAGAAAGGAAAATAAAATGCAATGAAAATGATCAGTGATGCTTCTAACATTTCCTTCTTGGAGAGAAGAGGGTAATTATACTCTGTTTAATATGGTTCTATTCTAAGACAAAAAGAAAAAAAAGGCCAATGCATGATTGTTAATATATATATTTGTTTTCAATGATGGTATAAGAAGATACCGTATTTTTCAGAGTATAAGACGCACTGGAGTATAAGATGCACCTAAGTTTTGAAGAGGCATTTTTTTTAAAGTAGGTAGGTAGATAGAGGGGTACAGAAGGAGAGAGAGAGAAAAATACAGTAGGTAGGGAGGGAGAGAGAGCAGGTAGGTAGATAGAGGGAGAGAGAGAAAAATACAGTAGCTAGGTACCGTGTTTCTTTTGCCCCACAAAATATGGCCTTGGGATTATTATAGGGGGAGGACTTATTGTTTTGGGTTTGCTGGGCAGCTGCTCCCTTGCGAACTGGCTCCCGAAAAGCTGGGCACAGCCTCAGGGGCGAAACAGCCATGAGGTACCGTGCTCATGAGCAACCGCCCGGCAAACCCCCTCTCCAGTTGGGCAGAGTGCCATTCACTGACCTAGGGGATATCTCTAAGGCGCCAAGGTACGTGGCGCTCTGCCTGTTCCCCAGGTCCCACGGCTTGGCACATTAGGGATATCCCCTAGGTCACTACATGGAGCTTTGCCTGGCCGGAGAAGGGTGTTGCGCGAGTGACTCTTCCACCCCCAGCAAGCATGCCTCCCAGCCTCACCATGCCCTGGCCCAGCTCTCCCTGCAGGCACTCTAAGCATAACTTCTTCTCTGGCTTCCAAACTCCAAAACATGGCTGCCGAGTCTTCCAGCAGCAGCCGCTCTAGGAATGCGCTCTATGGTTGTGGGCTGGCTGCCGGACAGAGAGTCTTCTGGACAGATAGTCTTCCAGAGCTCCATGCACTGACCTAGGGGGTATCCCTAATGTGCCAAGCCGTGGGAGCTGGGGTGCGGGCAGAGCGCCATGTGGCTTGGCACCTTAGGGATACCCCTTAGGTCAGTGAAAGGCGCTCTGCCCAGCTGGAGAGGGGGTTTACTGGGCGGCTGTTCGTGAGCATGGACACCTTATGGCTGCTTCACCCTTGAGGCTGTGCCCTGCTCTTCGGGAACCCGCCACTTGGCAACTCCCCCCCCCCGGCTCCTGCGGCTTGGCACCTTCGGGATACCGCTAGGTCGGTGAGAGGTGCTCTGCCTGGCCAGAGGGTGGTGGTGGTCCAGGGGGCTTATTTTCAGAGGTGGGCTTATA